TGTTTCTTTAATCATGAAAAATTTATTAATGGGTCTGGGGCTGCAGCTAAGTGGTAGAGCACTGGCCTAGCATGTGTGAGGTACTGGGTTCAATTCTCAACACCACATATAAATATATAAATTAAATAAAAGTTCAACAACTAAAAATATCTTTTAAAAAATTTATTAGTTGCAAATGTGTGAAGTAAAAGATTTCACATATAGTGTTTGTGAACATGTATAAGTTACGAATCTGCTAGTGTTGAATGTTAAGCAAAATAATAAGGGACTGGAGATGTGGCTCAAGTGGTAGTGCACTCGCTTGGCATGCATGCGACCCGGGTTCGATCCTCAGCACCACATACAAACAAAGATGTTGTGTCCGCTGAATACTAAAAAATAAATATTAAAAAATTCTCTCTCTCTTTTAAAAAAAAAAGCAAAATAATAAAACTATTGAAATGTTAGTGACTCCCCCACCCCCAGTATTGGGGATTGAACCCATGAGTGCTTATCACTGAGCTACATTATTTTTTGTTTGAGTCAGAGTCTCTCTAAGTTACTGAGACTGGACTCAAAATTGTGATCCTCCTACTTCACTGGGATTATGGGCATGGGCCACCATGCCCAATTAATGTCTGGTTTTATTTTTCAATTTCCTTTTAGCCTATTATTTATATAAGGCCTGTTTGAATGCTGAAAGCAGTAATTTTCTATATATGTCCCTTATAAAAAATGATGTTCAATGTTGGGTATGCAGATTTATAAATATGTACAAATAAACGATATATTTGTGTCAACTACTACTCTGACCAGTACCTGACAGATGGAAGCATCATATGTGCATAAAAGTGTGAAATTAAAATAAAATTCTCAAAATAGTTAACAATCAATTTGTGTTTAATAAAACTATACATAAAGCAAGGCTTTGTGCTTAAGAACCTTCAGCGGCCCACTAATTAAACAGTAATTTTAGTGTGTGTGTGTGTGTGGGGGGAAATGCCCCAAACACAAAAAGACTAGGTAAAGCAGATGTCTCCGTCAAATGTCTCTACACAGTCACCTTAAAATCACACTGATAAACATAAATACATGAGTCGTTCACCAAGCATAAAGTATTGCACAAGAGCAGTTTTATCTGGGGGAAAAAAAATGCAATTTTCCATCGTTTTGAATTTCAAAATGGTTCCCAGATTTAGATATAATTGTGTTTTCTAAAGAAGAAACACTTATATTCAGTAATGCTGTTAGAACCTGATTTTACCGTTGATCATATTCCAGTCTACTTTGTGGCAAAGGAAACATCGGTGGTGACGATTTGGCAAAGATAAAGGCAGATGAGATTGTAAAATGAGATACACACACAAGAAACATATTCCAAAAATCCCTAACCACAGGGTGCCCGATCCCTGGAAGAAACCCGCAGCCTAGGTCACGGTGACGGCCAGACTGTGACTCTCTTCCTTTTGAATCATTTGGTTGCTCTCTGGTCTGCAGCACCCTGTCTTCGGGTTTCGCTCTCACCACCATCTGCCACAGTCAGGTCCAGAGGCATCGGGCCATTATCTCTTACCAAATGGTTGACAGTGTGGGTTGCACCCAAAAGGGGGCGGCGCGCTGGGCCCATGGCAGGAGAAGAGGGCTTGCCCAGCGAGCTGGAGCCCTGTGGTCCTCCCCAGACCTGCAGGCAGGGGAAAGCAGGGAAAGGCAATTGGTCTGGGAAGCTCCTCCAACCAGCTGGACACAGGATTCAGGATTCCGAGCTCCTGACTCAGCTTTGCCATCTGATCTTCCAGTCCCCTGGTGCACTGTTAGACAGACACAGGGGGTTAAGC